CCGTTTTTCATACTGCGTTATCGATAATTAATCTATAACGAGTGAACACAACGATTCACAAAAAAATTAAGACATTAAGTTTAGGTATTTATATTTATTGTATTTAAGGTTTTTTTAAACTAATAATGAGATAAATAGTATCAAATAAGTTAATTTTCCAATGTTTTAATTTTTCTTGTAAAAAATAATTGGTTAAAAATAATTGTATACAACTATATACATTATCACACATAACAAATGACGTGCATTTTTAAATTTTAATCTCATAATCCATAACTAGAACTGAATGGATTTAGTTTTTTTATAGAAGTTAGTAAAATCTGGAAGGTTTTTTCTTTTTATTTATGTTCGAATTTTAGCTATTGTTTTTTTTTATTGTTTTACATACAGTCCATTCTATACTTGGATACTTGCAATCATTATTATACCTTACCTAACATCGTTTAAAAAATAATTTTTTGAACTCTAATATAAGTAATACCCAGGCAATAGACAATAGGTTTCAAACATAATGTACGTTCTTAACGATTATATGTCATTTACAATATCCTACATAAATATAACAATGTATTGCAATTTTCATTTTATGCAGGTTAAATGTAATATCGTACAAATCTGAAGTAGTACTAAACTGAAATATTACGTAGACAAAAAAAGCATTAACACTTATATACCTACATAATATTAGGTAATTATTAGTATACTATTAGTAAAGAATAATCTATAAAAGTATATTTAATATTATAAAATCATTAAAATGTATAGCTTGTTATTAAATCTCTCCATTGGCTTCAAGTGGCAATCATTTGCAATAAATGGTTGGTAAATATTGATAAAGCTACCTTTATCTCATAATATATTTCTTAACTAAACAAAGTATAATTTGACATACGTATGTGTAAACAAACATAATATACTTTTAATTATATGCACATTAATTTTTAATAGGACTGTCAGAATATCAAGCCATAATATTATATTGTAAGTAGCCATGTTGTTCATACCTACAAACATCAGCAAACTAAATTGTATCTAATTGTAAAGTAATTTATTGAAAATATATTTTATAAACGTGCGTTAATAAAAAAAAAAAACACGGCACGACCATCCGTTAACGGTTATTACGATTACACACTTTTTAACATGCGCTCTGAATCATTATTGGAATATGTACTGGTGAACTATCGATGGGTGTTCGTGGTTTTCTTTCTTTTGCCGTGCACTGTTTTGGGAAAGATATGGTCGATATTCGAAAAAAGTTTATGGTCACGTCATACCGGACTGGAACACGAGAAAAACCTAAGCCATATTCAACGCCAGGTGAGCAGCTGATGTAAAATTATTTGAGTGCGTATACCTAAATACTAGGTAATATTGTGATATCTGAAGCAACAGCAACGGCCATTTTGTTTTTCAGATCAAACACAGAAATGAACATGCACCCGATCGAGTTATGTGTACGGCCAGACCGAGTTGGCGGAGTATGACAATAGCTGACATGGTTTATAAAAAATATATGTACAATATAGATGTCCAACTGGATGGAATTGTTTCGATAAATGCTAAGAATCAAGTAAGTATTCTTTACTTGGACACCGATGTTGTTCAATACCTATGTAATTTATTAAACTCGTAATATTAAATTCAATTTTAAAATTACTTTAAAAATTGATGTGACGTTAAGACGAATTATAGACTTTTTCCAACAAATAGTATTACGTAATTATTGTACATTAGACAGTCAGAGTAGAACCGGGTATTACAATGGGCCGATTGATTCCTATTTTGATCGAATCCGGTTGGACGGTTCCAGTGGCTTTGGATATGGAAGACCTAACAATCGGTAAAAAAAAGTAGTAATTCAATACTAGTGTATTTCAGAAATAATAATTCACAATTTTTTTAATATTTAGGCGGTCTTGTTATGGGAATTGGATTGGAATCGTCATCTCACAAATTTGGATTATTTCATGAAACATGTACACGTTATGAACTCATTACGGCCAACGGAGATTTGATCATATGTTCAAAGGTTCAGTTACTATACATATTTTATTAAATGTTCATTTGTTTTGTCTAAAAACATACATAATTATGTATTTAATTAACCTAATTGATGATTGTACCCAGTCAGTGAATGCAGATATTTTCGAATCTGTACCATATTCGTATGGCACTTTGGGATTTTTAACAGCGGTTGATATTAAATTGATACCAGCGAAAAAGTACGTCCTTCTAACTTTTTTATTAACATTAAACTGAAAACCGTATTTAAATTATTTAGGTACGTAAAACTCAAATATCGTCCAATTCGTACATTAGAAAAAATGGAGTCTCGACTTATAGTGGAAACTAGTGATTTAGAGCACAATGATTTTGTCGAGCTATTAATATACAACAAAGACGAGGGAGTCTTGATGACTGGAAAAATGACAGATGGCAATAGAGACACTGAAGTAACTGTTTAACAAATAATTATGATTTATTTCATTGATTTTATATTTACCTTTTATTTTTTGACAAAAGTTATTAATTTTATTTAGAAATATGTGAATAGAATTGGTCGATTTTACAAACCGTGGTTTTTTAAACACGTTGAATCATTCTTAATAACATGGAAAATTGGTGAGGAATATATTCCACTAAAAGATTACTATTTTAGGCATAATAAATCATTATTTTGGGAAATTCAGGTACCTAAAAAAATTATACAACTTTAATTGATATTTTAATATTAATGTGTATACGGTATACTTTATATGTTTATATATGTTTAGGATATAATACCTTTTGGAAATCACCCAGTTTTCCGTTATCTACTAGGATGGCTGATGCCAGCAAAAGTTGCTCTATTGAAATTGACACAAACTGATACAATCAAACAGTTGTATGCTAAACATCATTGCATAGATGACTTCATACTGCCAATTTCCTGTTTGAAAAAATCGGTTCAAAAATTTCATACAATGCTCAATGTAACTTTTAAAATATATGATAATTATTGGCACTAAAATCAACACACTGTGTGAATTGTGACTTATTGGTTGATTTTAGATTTATCCAATTTGGGTGTGCCCAGCTGTTTTGCGCCCGGGAAAAGGTCTTATGCATTCACCCGCAACAGTAGACAATATGTACATCGATATTGGCTTATACGGTGAGCCTAAAGTCATCGAGTATAATTCAACAATTGTAAGGGACATAGAAATATTCGTACTTAAATTAAAAGGGTAATAAATAGAATAGATTTTTAATTAAAATGGTTTTGTTTGTCTTAGAAGTTGTTTATACTGTTATAGTGTTAAAATCATTTTTTTCTTTACATTTAGATTTAAGATGATGTACGTCGGTACATATTTAAATATACATGAGTTCAAGACAATGTTTGATCATCGATTGTATGACCGAGTAAGACATCATCTTGGCTGTGAATCCAACTTTCCAGAAGTCTACGACAAAGTAAATAGGAACGCCAGAATATAATACATATTTCACATAATATATTTAATTTTTTTACAAAACCTTATACCTTCGGATAATATATAATTATATTTTAACCACATAATGATTTCATGAATAATTTGTACCTTCATATAATATGTTAATATGTACACAATATATAGTATGCATGCAATTGTTGTATTCTAAGAGAAAATTTGATTAAAATGTTAAAAGTAAACTGATTCTTTTTTAACAGTTCTAAATTCAAATACAGGTGATAATATCTAATGAAGTGTTTATAATAGATAAAAATAACGAGTTTACCGACATATTTTCCAACAAGATTATTTAATAATAATATTTTGTTGTGAATATTTTTAACATTAAACTTGCAATTAAATAATGCTTGCACACAAAAAATATGTGCCAATTATTTTTGTTTCACAAATATTGTATTATAAATAATTATAATTTATAGTTACCTTTAAATCCTATGTTATACGATTCTGTTTACGTATTGTCTACAGTACTACATTAAATATGTACTAATATAGAAAGCTGTAAATACATATTTGTGCAGAGTAATCTTAAAATATACCGGTCTAATGCTGATCGAATTGTTTCTATTTATTCCTACTTTTCATCCCGGAATTCAACCACTAAATTATTGGAAATATTTATTTATGTTTTATGGAAACTTGTTATAAATATAGATGGCGAGGATATATTTTTAATAAAAAACATCAATTATCTCACGGTCAATTAAATGGTGAACTCGCAAACAAATGTGTATACTTAAATTCTGCTAACATGACTAAAAACAACGTCTAACGCATAATTTTGGAAAATTGGCTTATTTGCAATTATTACACCTTTAATTTGTATCTTAATTATTTATTTTGTTCATCACACACACACAAATGCAAGTATTCAAATGGTATACGCTCTTTGATTTTTAAACACAATATTAAATGCAATATGAAATGAAACATACATAGATAATATATTTGGATGTATATTTGTTTGTTTTTCTGTTTGTCCGGGAAAATCTTCAGAATGGATGATCCAATTTTGACAAGGTTTTCAAGTTTCACACATGGACCGGCAGCCGGTCATACTTCCTAGATCAGAAATATCGTCTCCACCGCCGAGTAAACGAGCCCGATCTCTTTGCTCACCACTTTCGCCCTTCCAAATGCCCCTTCCCAAGTTTTGGATTTGTTGTATAATAGACGGTCGATGATGTCCACCACCAATTGGCTTTTGTTAACACTTGCAATGATGGATGGTAAACATATAATGTAGCCCAACCATGAATTATTATTGATGTTGTTGTTGATGTTGTTAATAATAGTGTGTGACTATATATATTATAATAAATATTATTATGACATAATATTAGACCATAAACATATTCGTGAGTACACAAACTATTATAATTGTGAATGTAAAGCAAACCGTGTCCTTTGTGTATTTATCGTGATATCATATTCTAAATCCTTATATATATATTATTATTATTTTGTATTCCGACGATATTATATTATATTCTCAATCATTATATTATTATTATTTTGTATTCCGTCAATATTATATTATATTCTAAACAACCAATTATTAATTGTAATACTTATGTGAAATTATTTGAACTGAGATTATTTATGAAAGTAATAAATCGTTTTGATTACAAGCAAATGGATATATTTTGTAATATTTAAAATACAATATAAATTAACCGTTACATAGTTGACCTACCTATGATAAAACAAATTGTGCAATAATACACGGTTTGACTTTTCTCAAACATATAGGTACCTACTTCCTCTTGTCCAGAGTATAATAATATGATCAGTCTAAATCATCGACACTGAGCTCGAAACGCGGCCGAATGATTGCGTCGTATATGTACGCCGAGCCGTTGTCCCGGATCGGCGCGAAGCACCAAATAAAAAACCACGTCCTGCACATCTGGTACAGCGGCAAGAGCTGCAGGAGCGGCCGGAAGAGTGATTCCACGATCAGGATAGCCGTGAACGTCATCCAGTACGTGAACTTCTCATTCTGGGCTTCGGTGGCGGCGGATACGCGGTCATACTTCCGCCAAATCGGTGGCGACGTGGTCAGAGATATCGTCATCGCCGCCGGGTAAATAAGCGCGATCGCGTTGCTCGCCACTTCCGCGCTTGCCCCGTACACGAGAAGCACCGAGGTCACCAGGACGATGGATAGCAGCACCTTGAACCTGGACATTCCGGTCAGCGCTTCCGCCCGTCCGAATGCCGCGTCCCAAGGTTTGGATCTGTCGTATAACGCTCCGTCGATGATGTCCATGACCAATTGGATTTTGGTAGCACTAGCCATGATGGACAGTGCTTATAGAATACCGCTCGATCACGAATTATTGCTATTGATGTTGATGTTGATTTTGTTAATAAGCATGCGATTTACGCTTTGATTATAAAACAATATGATATAAGGACGAATAACAATATTGTTATCGATGAGAAGTGAATACAGCTTACCTACGATAAATTAATCTTGAGTGAATATTACTTGATATATTTTTTAAAAGGTACCATTTAACGGTTTTTCGTTAAAACTATTATATCGCAAACAACGAATGTTTGTGTCACGGAAAACGGTAGATTAGTAGCACTTGACAACGACAGTACATAGTATCAACGTTAGGTACATGATAAGTATTTGCTATATAAGCCAGATAAGAAAATCGGTCAACGCAACATATTTAGGTGCCATATTGTCCCTCACTTCGGGAAGTTTGAAAAAATTGATTATTATGCAACGCAAAGCCCAAAATTCTGGTATTTTGCTACTTCACAATATAAAACTAAAATTTATATAGGTATAAGTGTATAACTATAGGTATCTCTGAATAAAACTAATTTGATTTTCCTAATTTTGGATTTATGTCAAAATATATTGTTGTATAGGTATACGCGTTATAATACGTAAAACGTTGTGTTATGAAGAATTTCATTAAAATAAGTCTGTTACCAAGATTTTTTTTTAAGAATATCCTGGACCATCTGCAGTAATATTATACAGTATTCTGAATAACTTCAACGGTGTTGTAAAGAATTTGGTACTTGAGTATTGTTAAACACTTTTCTTAGAACCGAAATTTTTAAATATTTTTGATTTAATTAAGGTAAGTGTGCTTACTCAACGAATTTTTAGATTCTGTGCTGAACGATGGCTGAATTGATTTTACAATACCTAATGTGTGTTTTTTTTTCATATTTTTTTTTTTGTTTGTGACCTTCACCACTTTTTACACATTCCCAAGTATATAGTTATATGTACCAATTTTTAAAACTATTTTGAGTTAGAAATTCATAACAACTTTTGTTTTTAAATCTAAGATTTAAAAATTGAATACAAGATTCCTTATAAGTTTGTCTACCTTAATCAACAAAAAATATGTTCATCGGAAAGTCAAATTAAATTTTTTTATTGATCTTAAAATACATCGGCTATGAAGGCTATTAGTTACAGTTTTTTTTTTATTTTACATATGTACATTTAGGTAAATACAGATATACTTAAGAATAATACATTGTTTATGGTTGTTCCGTAATTACATTTTTATGAACGTTTGAAGTTTAAATTTTTACAACATTGGATATTCAACCGATTTTCCATGTAGCGATTTTCCTATTTTGTAGTAATTCAAAAACAAATAACTGTAGATACTTTAAATTTACACTATAATATATTTATTTTATAAATTCCTACACTTGATAAAATGTTCAAAATATTTTAACTCGTTTTGAGCTGATTACGGACATTTTCAATTTTGAAGTTTTCATTTTTTTCTATGAATGTAAATAAAATTGTATTTATTGAGTCAAATGTAAAAATAAAATGTTCAACTTTTATAGCTAAGGATTAAAAATTTAAAACAAAGTTCCACGTAAGTTGTCAATTCTGTAACTCAAAATCTAAAAATATTCTAAAGAACAATTTTTTTATAATTTTAAATTTGGACAAAATTACATATTAACACAGAAAATACATATTTTAGTCACTTTTTTTGTAATTAAAAAATAATATCCATGGGTTTATGAACATTTTAGAGTATACTATTATATTTTATACACACAATGAAATTTTCAAATTCAATTGTTTCATAAAAATTAAGTTAAAATACTGTAGTACTAATTCCTAATAGTAAAATAAACTTTTTTAATCACAATAATATCATCAAATATACTAAGTAATAGTATAGTCTGACAGACCGCCTACACTCAGAATCGTTTTTCGTATACAATGATTTTTATTATTGAATTCAATTGTAATACTATCCATTACAATGACCCACTTTCAACCTACTATACAGCTGTGTGACATCCACTCACCTAATTTTTTAGTAGTTACTTATTAATAAGTATTATATTTCTTACATCAATAACTAATGATTAAAACATTTTTTATTTCTTTTTTTTATTCTCTACAAAATACACATTTACCATTTTCTATATTAAATTGAAAATCGATGAAAAAATACCACCCAAACCAAATGTCAATAATGTAAAATTTGTAAATTTCTCCATACAAAGTACAGACTACTATTAACTATCGACGATCCTGATGAATCATAATATAGGTGGCTAGAGAAAATGTTTAAAATACTGTGAAAAGGAATATTTGAGAATTTTGGTAGATTTTTAAATTATTGTGATGATTTAGAGCTAAATTCTAGGTTATGAGTTATAACTCATATAATTAACTTCTTGCTGACTTGTTTTATATCTAATCTTCTAGTACTTAATTGTATACTATTTAATAATCGTGTTTTAGATGATAGATTATTATTTGTTTAAATTGTGAGGTATTATATAGGTCTTAAAGTAGATATAATTAGTATTTTAGTTAGTTCAGACATTCTATATTTCTATTGAATCAATTCTTGCGAAATATATCATAAATAAACGTCATTTTTTCATAGTTTGTAAGTAATATGACTACGTATTATTATAATCAATATTTATTATCTTCTATAGTTCAATAGTTGTATCCAAAATTGTTTGATATGTATATGCATATATATATTTGATCAATTATATTAAAACACTAAGTCTAAGCAAAAGTGTTTTTTCTTGCATAACTCTTTTTTTTCTACTCAATTGTACTCTATTTTATACTTAAATGGGTACAATATAATATTCATAATAAATGAACCCGTCAAAGTATTCCAGCGTCGTTATGAATAGTTAAGTTTAATTAAGATTTTTTTCTCTCGTTTTCATTTTCTTAAAAACAATGAAGCGCCTCTGTCACATTGTTTACAAAACACAAACATAATAGCGGGTGATAATGACTATGTTGATAACACAATAAAACGTGCAAAAGTGGCAACGAAAAGTAATTTTGTTATTTTACTTTAATGCCAGCTTAAAGAAAATACCTTTTATGTTATAAATTAATTTCAAATCATCACAATTTCCTTTAACAATCATTTGATTCTCCAGCTGTTTGTTTAGGAAACGCATTATAATAGGTATAATTAGTCATTCTAAACACGTATAGGGCTAACGCTATACACGTATGACTTACTCGAGGGACGATAACGAACCAAAAAAAAAGGTATTTTATAATACCGGATATCCTATAAAGATTTACCAATTTTAAGTGGTAGACTATTGCTATTTATAATATTTCAACCAACCAACGTATATACTAGCTTATGAATTCCAGAAAAAGTCCTTAACTCTCACAAACAGGATTAGTATAATTTTTTTAATGAATTATATTGCGCTGATTACAAAACCAGGGTTAGGTTTAGGGTATTATTTTAATCATCGAACTAACTACCGCAAATTTGTATAAATTGAAACGTGACATTTCAAATAAATGAATTTCCTTGAATAATATATTATGCAATTTCACAATGTTCATTTAAATAATAATGATAATGCTTATGAAGCACAGACCATAGAGAATAGGTGTACGCATTATAATTAAAAATTATATCAATTTTCTTTCAGAGTTTTACATAATATTGTTACCTTTATAATTCGTTGTTACAATTTGAAAAATTATTATCCAATTTAATGTTAAAATTTGATATAAAATAATGTTCACATAAAACGAGTATATACCTACCTACGTACTATATTTTAGGTAATAATTACTAAATATGTAACATTTTCAGCTAATTTATTAAACTAATAAAATAATTTACTATATAATGTTCGATTACACCTTCAGAAATATGATTAATTAGTAATTGAACAAAATAAATACTGTCACTACAATATTGCAATTTGTAAGTATAAGTACAATTGACTATTTATATCAAAACCAGAAGTAGGTACCAAATTATTATGTTTTTCTTTAATTGGTCTGTATATAAGAAAAACAAAAATAGTTTGATAAAAATAAATCATAAAACGACGTATAAAATATATATAAAGAATTTAATTATGTTTGCCGTAAAAATAAAATTTAATAATTGAAATAAATCAAACTGTTTTAAATAAAAAATATTATCTACCTCATTAAAACTTAAAAAGTTCATATTTTACATGAATACCAACTATAAAGTATCTAGATATTTACAATTTTTATTTTTAATCTTGAATTTTTAATCTCTTGAGTTTCGAATCATGATTATACCTCATTTTACTGTCAGGCGAAAACCTGTATTTCATAAATAAATAAATACCTAATAATAATAAGAGACTTGGACTGGATGGAATATTAAACCATGTTTTGGGAGTTGTTTTTTTTAAATATTGTAATATAATATGATGTACACTGTATAATAAGTATTTAAATTGAAATGTTTAAAAAAAATGTAAGTTTATTAACAAAACAAAATATTCTATAACTATTAAGTTTACTTAAAATCTGATTTTAATATTTAACAACTAATTTCACGCTTGTCGATGTATATTTCGCTTTAAATAAAATCAACAAATCATTAATTCATTTTTTTATTTACCTATCTAGTATCCATGCATACAATGTATAAATACACTTATATATTGTTATCTCCCATTAAATATAGTAAATTATCTAGACAAATTTCTGGTTTTTGCATTATCAAGTAGTGAACTCTCCTAAAAGGATTCTGCAGCAACATAACTCATATGTAAATTTATTCTCCGAAAATAAATAAACGTTTGTAAATATTATATTCAGTGGAGACAACACATGACCAACTGAATAACTAAACTTAAATTATGTAACTGGAAAAACCTTTTTTTATCTAAGTGAAGCAATAAAGCAATTACAGCATGGTTTTACAATAACATTATTTATTTAAGTCCGTACACATATTTTGGATGTACCTATATCTTATGTTTTTTTCGTGAATTCATTAAATTTGGAAATTGTCCACTAACAATATTTCACACCAGACGTCAAATATTTTGAATTTAGTTTGATATTATCACCATTTCTAGTTTTTATTGTTGCTAATCATAATCATATCTTACTGAAAAAAGTAAAATTAACCTTTTTCATTTCAAAAACTTTACCAAACATGAACATATTTTTTAATTGGAGTAATATAGATACTTTCCAACTCCTTTATGCATGATGTCCCTCTATATTTTAAAAACTGTTTTAATTTTAAGATTTTAGTGGTAGATTTTAGAATATACTTAGATCACATACAGTT